CGCCGCCGCGGCCCAGACGCAGAGGAGCAGCGAGAGCGGCCGGCTGTTCCGCTCCGCACCGCCCCGGCCCGCGGGGCTGCCCCCGCACCGCCCCGCCATGGTGGCGCATGACGAGCTGGGCGGCCTCCTCCCCATCAAGCGCACCATCCGCGTGCTGGACGCGCACAACCAGGCGTCCCGCGAGCAGGAGGTGAGCTGCGGGCCGGGGCACCCGGCTGCGGCGGGCGGGCTGGGCTTGCTCGTGGGCAGCGGATGCCAGAGAGCGGCTTGGGTCTGGCTGGACGCTGCGCAGGGCTCGTGGCTCGCGGGTGCGTGTCGTTTGGTAGGAAGCGGAGAGATGCGGTGGCTGCCCGCGCGACGCTGGCGTGTTGCTCGAGGCAGGCGCGGGGCGTCTCGATTTGGGGGCTTGCGACTCAGACTTTGAGAGCGAGGGGTTTTTGAGTCGGGGTCTTGAGAGTCTTCCGAGATCGGGGGTTTTCGTTTTGAGGTCTTGCGAGTCGTTTGAGGTTGAAGGATTTAATTCGGAGTTTCAAACAGGACCCACTTTTGCTGAGCGGTGTTTGAATGTCTTTCTCCTTTCCTACCCCTCTCCATGACCTGCGATGCTGCTGTCTCTGGGTAGCAAGGTTTCAGTAGCGAGGATTAACACTTGCTTCCAGCAGATTTAGGGCAGACTTGTAGAGAAACCAGCGAACTCGCATCTAGTGGGGGGATGAAACTTCTCAGAGTAACTTTGGAGCCTGCCCCACACTTTGAGAAGTGACTTAGAAATGGCTCATTTAGAGGGATTTCGACTCGAAGTGTCCAAAGGACTCGGGAGTCTTCACCCTAAACCTACAACGTCCTCAGCCTACAATAATTGAAGTCGTCTCCTTGCCTTCAGCAGGGCAGCGTCCAGGAGCAGAGCTAGGAGCCAGTCACAGGCTCAAGCTTGTTTCTGGTGTCCTTTAAAACTAAAGGATCCAGGTGTATAAATTACACTATGCGCTGTTTTCTTTGCCCCCTCTGACTCTCTTTTCCATCCAGGCACTTAGTCTCTGGCTAAACAAGTACGATTTTATTTCCTTTATTTTTTTATTTTTTTTAAAAGAAAAAGAGACTTTGTAACCCTGTGTTATGTAAATGAGTCCAATTGCATTCCTGGAGGCTTACTGCATACCTTGTCTGTTGACACAAGGCAAAAGTACAGTAATCAAGCAGAAATGTGCTGCCTAAGGTAGTGATAAAAAGAGAATGGTTATTACAAAAAATAAAATAGCCAAATCTACACTGAAACTCCCCTTGACTCAGATGACCTTCTGTCGAAGTCCTGTTGGGTGCATTTTTAACGCTTGAAATATTCCAGCTTTAAGCAGAGAAACTGGATGCTCTCCAAGCCACAGACTCACTGCTGCACCTCCATTAAAAAAAGTTGCTCTGAGAGTTTGGGGATAAATCTAAGGAATGAGTTGACTACATACAAGGCTTTATTTCAGACAAATATGATTAACGTGGTGCTGCGTATTAGAGGTTTAATAGTTGTTTTTGGTTGGGGGGGTCAGGAGTGGCTTGCAAGTGTTTGTGCCAAGTTCTCATTTGCAGTTTACAGTCACTTTAAGCCCTTTACCCATCCAGCAATCCTACCTCTGTGCTTCCCCCTTCCCCTTGAGTCTGAGGAAGGGATACAGCCCTTTGATCCACCTTGGCTGAGCCTCCCTCGGTCACAGACACGGCTGGGCATCTTACACCAACTGCACTGAGATCCAGCAAATTCACGTCACGTTAATCTTCAATCAGTGCGCAGCTTACCTCAGCCCCTCCTGGGTTCATACTTGACCTGGTGACCAAAGCGCCGTTGGAATTGAGTGTTCATTTAATTATAGTCATTTGCGTTGTTTCCATTTTTTCCCCATTGGTCACTTTTTCTCAACGTTTGTATGTGTACATGTGATCTTGCACATTGAACACAACACGGGAGAAGAAAATGTTCCTTTTAAAAGATGACAATAAATAACCTGCCACTGGGGGAGGGAAATCTATACTCAAACCCAGCATTTTAATTGCTTTCACACTTAAAGGAAAGCAGCCACTTGGCACTTGATCTTTTTTGTAGCGTGGCGATTTGTACACAGAAAGGAAAGTCCGTTGAAAGTCTGTCTCAAAACTCATGGTAGAGGCGATATCTATTATTAGACCAACTAGATTTTTGCCAAAAAAAATATTTTAGTTGCAAGCTTTCGGGCACAAGCACCCTTCTTCAGGCATCTTGCTTTCATCCTGCAAGCAAAGATTTAGCCTGGATTTTTTTTTTTTTTTTAAAACAAAGACGACCTCCTTGAAAAACTGGTTTTTCAAGTAGAAACGATGGTTGGCAGTTAACTATTTTGTAGCATTGACACTTAACTGAAAGTTGAGACAAGTTCAATAAATGCTAATGTTGTTCTAGGGAGTAATTTGTTTTTAACATAATTTGGCTTACTGGTAGTTGGCCTAGATTTCTGTATGGGGGATTATCCCTAGTGTACACTCCTCATTTCAATAGTTTTACACCCAGGACGAACCTCACCTCATGTGGAATAGCAGGTTAAACCCAAAGCTGCCATGAAGGCAGGAGAAAACTCATAGGACACAATGCAGCACTTGGGAGGATTTTGCTCAACTAATGTTGTGGCTTATGAGGACTTCCATCTTCTGAATTCCTTAGGGGAGCAAAGTCTGCACAGGGCAAACTTTCTGGTGGTGTTGCTTAACTCGTGGGAGTTGGTTGTTCAAAACACGACCTTGCTTAAGGCAAAGGAGGACTCTGAACCGTATGTTCCCCAGCCCCATCTCTTGTTAAGCAAGAGGAGAACTTGTCACTCTGTGCTGGTATTTGCATCTCTGATTCCAGATCACTGTAGCCAGTCTGAAGAGCGGCAATTTATAAATCCATTCAGACAGGGAGCCCCTTTGTACTGTCGGGCACACACGGAGGGGATTGCCTTCTGCCAGGCTTGTGCATATGCATGTGTCACTTCAGTCCCGCACAGATGTGCTGCAAAGGCATTCACACATGTCCATTAGTGCCTGGAGCGTGGCATTGTATCTCATATCTGCAAAGCCTGCTCCTTTGACCTCTGAACAGAGCGAGCTGAGAAATATCGCGCAAGCATCCTATCCCGAGCACTGGGATTTCTTCCACTATTAATCTCGGTGTCGTATATATTTATTTTTCCTGTTTGGTCTATTTATATAGCCTTTCTTGGCAGATCTGGATGTGATCTATGTCTGTCTAAATCCTGCTCTCAGCCTGATTTAGTTCACGAGCCTTTCTTGGCTTGCGCCTCCTTGTTTTAGTACCTCGGCATGCAAAATAAAACTTGTCCCTCTCCGTTCCATTGAGAACTTTCTGTCCTTCACTTCCCCTCCAGACGAATCCCTTTGCAGATGGATTCTGCGCCCTTAGTGCCGTAGTTAAATAGGTCTTCTCTTGAATAGATGTGCCTAGCATAAATGAAATGATACTCAGTGTCCTAGCCTGAATATCATTTTGTTTTCTCGTTGCAGCTCTTTCTCCAAACTTATAATATCCAGATAGTTTTGAAATCTTTCAGCCATGGCACATGTAGAAGATAGTCTCAGACATCCCTAACCCTGTACTGAGCTATCCTTTCATCCTATATTTGAGACCTCTGTTAATCAAGGAATTGTGGCTTTATTTCCCCTCCAGCTCTGAAGACTTCATTCATAGCATCTCCTAAATTTGGGTCTCGGTCACTGCATCTAAGAACACAAGGCTGCTATTCACGGCGTGGCCCAAGACCGATTCTCATTTGCGCAGGTTTTGCCCTTTCTGATTCTTTCCCCATGCAAATGATCTGAATCCAGCTCCATATGGCCCTTTCCCCCTTCCGAGGTTTTGTCATTACTCTTGCTGCACAGAAGCAAAGGATTCATGTGCCTTTCGCTACTGTCTTTCACGGAAGCAGGGAAGATGCCAAGGGTCAGCTGGTTTAACCTCCTGCATAGATGTAGGATTCACTTGGCCATCTGAAACAGGAAGTGGACACAGTAGGGACCTCTGTCTCCAGCTATTATGTCATCTTCTCATTCCCCACTTTTTTTTTTTTCTTTTTTCTTTTTTCCTTCTACTACTTAATAGGGGAGAATCCATCATTAACTGGGGATGGCTGATAATCCCTTGTTAATGTGCCTAATGAGGGGGATTCGTTCACCCAAAGCTTCTCGTGAAACCATCCAACCATTGCGCTAGGAAAGGGCATTGAGGTACCTCTCTGTACCCGTGGTGGGGTCCAAGGATCTGGAGATCAGTTGCTTGGAAGTATCTTCTAAGTGCATCACAAGACTTTACCTGCCCTTGGTTTTCTTACTTCCCACCCTTCCTTATCTCTGGTTGTGCTTGCTTTTCCGTTAGAAATTTCCGTGTAATGTTCATTACACACAGCATTTACTGTAGCTTGACACTTGTATTTGTTAAGGGCCTGTAGCCTCCAACAGACGGATGATTCTCCATCCACGGAGGTGGATCACTTGGAACAGAGCTTAAGGTTGATGGACTACTCTCACTCCACGTACAAAAGCATCAGCTTTGAAGGGATAGAGGCCACAATCCCTTAGGAAAAGGCAGACTCCTAGATTGAAGCATCCCTTTGTATTTCCACATACTTCACTGGAATGTCGAGCATGCCGTATATTTGCCGTATGCCAGATTAGCTACTTACAACTGTCTTGGGCTCTGGCTGTTCTTTGTGCCTTCTGTCTCTGGAGTGAAATAAAAGGGGGAAAGCATGTTCTGTTAGGGAACAGACACAAAATTCTTGTGTGTAGTAGCAGCAGATCCTCAGCTGTGTACGTCTGCCAGGGCCTCATCAAAGGACTGATGACAGGTCCTACCAGGATCTGCTCAAATGTCTCTAGTATATTGCTGTCCAGAAGCAAACTGGAGCCGCGCTGTCTTGAGTCACTGTGCAAAAATACTTGCAGGCATTCTGATCATTACAGTCTGTATTGTCCCAGCCTCTCGCAAGACTGCACTTAGGTTTAGACAAATACCTCCTGCTGCAGCTACTTCAGCACACTGTTTAGAGGCACAAACTGGTTTTTCCAGCCTTCGCAACATTGACCAATCTAAATCTCAGCCACACTCAGTACAACTTGTTCTGTTTTTATTATTGTTTGCAGGAGCCCAGCAATAAGCGAGTTCGACCTCTAGCTCGGGTGACGTCCTTGGCAAACTTGATCTCTCCTGTAAGAAATGGTGCAGTTCGGCGCTTTGGTCAGACAATACAGGTAAGACCAAGCATGAGGTTCTCTCTTTGTGGAGTGGGGACGTGTACCTATAAGTGGTTGGATTGATCCCAGAATTTCAGGGTCTCTTGGGAATTTGACCCATGCCAAGTCAAAGCATGGAGAAGAGTTGCATGTTCCCAAGGGTCTTCTGATTCAAAGGCTGTATGGTCACTGAGATGCTCTTATCAAGCATGTGCATGTCCTACAAGGAGGAGCCCCTCCAGAGCTTCTGAACTATGGAGAATGTGCAGAATGAGGATGAGTTAACTAATAGCTGCTTTCTGTTGGCCTCCAGTCAGTAGTATACACACAGCTTGAAGCTTAACCACGGGGAAAAGAATGAGTCGTTTCAAGTAGGGAGAGTCGCATGATACACAAATGCCTTATGGCAGTATGTGAGGTGCATGATATGCCTGTGCATGCCAATATGAAGGCAAGCAATGTTCTTTGGGTAGATATGATATCTTTTATTAGACCAACTAAAGGTCTCTTAATTGGTCTAATAAAAGATATCACATTACCCAAGGAACCTTGCCTGCTAATGTCCTTAGACCAACACAGCTACAACCAACAACCCTGCAAATATGAAGGGACACTTGTTTGCAGTTTTTCTTCATAGGCAAGTGGCACCAAAAAAGTCTGTTCTTATAACATGCTACCCAAAATGTGCAGATCAGATAAATTCATATTTGGGTTGCAATGACATTGCAAACCACTAGAACAGAATTCAGGTACTTCAATCTATGAGCTCCAGTGACATTAGCAAATTAAAGCCTTGACTATGGCACAACTTGTACAACTTGTGGTAGAGGAGGGACAAAGGGGTTGGGAGCAGCAAATGAAAAACTTGTGGTACACTTACCAAACCTTTTTATTCACTTTTCTTCCCCAACAGTCATTTGCCCTCCGTGGTGACAGCAAGTCCCCTGGCTTTGCCCACAAGTTATGTAGCAGGACAGCTGCTCCCACACCACCGAAGAGAAGAAACAGCGTGCTTTGGTCTGAGACGTTAGATGTTAACATGAAGGAGACTCTGAGCACCAAAGAAATCAAGCGCCAGGAGGTAAATTGTTGATCAAGATGCCCTTGTTTCTTCTGGCTGGTGGAGGAGGATGAAGATGAAGAGGCAGGAAAGAGGAGAGAACTACATCGCACTTATTCATATATCACATGCACCCTGTTTTTAGAAGAAAGAGCAAAAGAAAAAAAGGTTTTTGCTTTTAAACAAACTTCTCCAAACCAGCTCTTTTGTTTAAGAGCTGTTTAAAAGCCCCAATTTTTTTTTCCTGATCATTAATTTTAAGGAAAGGGTGAATGTGGGATGTGGATAAATGTACAGTTTTACTTCTAGAAAAATAATCCATCCAGGCTGACCTTTTGAACATATAGGCCTCATTGCAGTGATTACAGGTTCTGTGTGCCAAACTCAGCACTTTAAATGGGACTGACCTTTTTTCTTTTATGAGGCTTGAACTTGGCACCTCTGGGGTTGAACACACACAGTCGTTAGTCAGTTCTGAAAATGAAGGCCAAACTGTTCTTTCCTTTTTAAGGAGGGTCTTCTTCCTCCTGAAGGGACTTAACAGTTGGCTAAGTGCCAAACATGAAAACTTTGGTTCTCTGAAAAATGTATTGAGGAAGCAGAAATTGGGAAAAGGTAATAAACTGGGGGATTTGACCTGCAGGTAAATTGCTGCACTTTGGCTATAGAAGTCCATGATGAAAAAATATTTGACTTGGCTAGTGGGAAAGCATCAAAGCTTTCACACGTTTGCAAGTAGTTTGACTTTCTCAGCACTTAGGAAGCAAGGATTTACTCTGGCCTGTCAGACCCAAGGGCCTTGCAGCAGTTCAAACAGCAAAACCTTCCTTGGTCTTCAGACCCTGGAGAGATTTAATAATCTCTCTTGGTCCCCCTTAGCAGCTTTGATCAGAAACAAGGCCACAAGTTATAACTAGAAGTGTGTCCTTCAAAGAACAGCTAGAATGAAAGCGCTCATTTGCTATATACTTAAGAAGAAATGACTCAAATATCTTTACTCTTCTCTTTCTCATAGGCAATATATGAACTGTCCAGGGGAGAACAGGATTTAATTGAAGATCTTAAGCTTGCTAGAAAGGTGAGTGTTTTTTTGTCTGTGTTTTTTTTTTCCTTGCAGTTGAAGACCACGTCTGACATCCTTGGGGCATCTTAGTACACACACAGTCCTGCAGTAGTTTTACTAGACATTTTTTGCCTGATTTTTATTGTGCAATTGAATATTCTTTTCCAATATCATAGCCCCCCCCCCCCCCCCCCC